TGGGTGGTAGCGGGTCTTATATTGTTTGTTTACATTATTACGGCAGCATCCGGCAACAATTCATTGTATCCAATTATGTAAGCTGATCTGGATTCTGGCTCCGCGTTGGCCAACAACATTTGCGTTCAACAAACATTTATTCCCACAACCTAGCAAACCACAATATGTACAAATACCCTAATTTAGTTTAGCTCAGGCATAATATCAGTTCTTCCCTTCCCGAATACCGACTCCGAAACCGAAGATTCGAGGTTCATCGGCGACTGTAGCCAGACCGCGCAGTCAACAATTCGTTTGCTGCGGTTGTGACTCGTTCGAGAGAGTAACGGCCTTTATGGTACGGTTTATTTCGGAATTCACTCCATCTCCCAGGATCTGGATACTGGCATTGATCAACAAGAAATGGTGATGGTACCGTCCAGCACTCCAACAGGCAACAGATATCATCCCAGCTCCCAGTACAGGGGCTTACCATCCTTTCGGTAAGTTGTATGTGGTTCCTGCAGAAGACACCCTGCTAACCCTTTACAGCCATCTACAGCGCCTCGCGAATATTAATGTGCACGCAACGCCTATCACACCATTTCAGTCTCTCTGGTCCAATCATACGCCGAGAAGTCATTGCCTCAACATTCGTAACCGAGAACACATTTATCATGAGGACGCTACATGCGTGGTTTGCTACGCACTGGCACACAGCGAAAGCCTGACTCGCCGTCTGCCAGCGCCCATCGTGTCGCATCCTGATCGTCTCTGATATATCGGGAAGTACACCGGCTCGGTTTGCGGATCTCGGGAAATGCCCTGAGTCTTCTGAGCTCCGACGGGATCTCAGGCTGTCTGACACCGCCGGGGGTCAACAATTCTTCCACATTCTCGAAAGTAGGCGAAATCACACCGTGTTCACAGTGACTGTGGTCCCGTCCTTTGCTGTTCTATCCGGTAAGTGCAACGTTTTCAGCACTATCGCAAGTCCTCCTTATTCACAGCACAACAGATTGGCGGTGTCCTTGGCCTGACAATAACTTTGCCCAAGCTTGGCAACGGGGTTCGCACGGAAGAACAACAAGGAAGGCTTCATTCTACATACGAAGAACATGTCACAAATCGCCACCAGTCTGTCACTCCAATGAGTGATCAGCAGGTGTTTCTGACTGGAACGACGAGAGGAGCTCTTCGAAATCACTCTGGCGTGGCATGTGCTTCTGAACTATGGGGCATGTGGCCCGGGATCTCTTCAATCTCAACTTAATCCGGACAGCCTGATTCACGTTCGACTTGCTTGGGGCGGGCAAACCGATGTACTCAGGCTTTCGCTGCGCTCGAGACCCGGTCGTGTCCGGGACCCTTAAATATCTTATTCGTTCTTATCTGGCGTGTTCTACATTATTCAGGCGATGTTTCCTGTCGAGGGTGACCTATATGGGGCGGGAAGGACCCATACCGGAGTGGCACAAACTAATCCCCAAATTCCTGGTCAGTCGTTCGCGTCACAGTCCATTTCCAGCTCGATCACGTCTTTCAGGGCAGCAGGTCTGCCAGGGTCCCGAAATTCACAGCGCCTGGACGGCACCACCTTGGATCTTCGCTGGCAAGATGTTTGGTAGACTGAGGCTTCTCAACGCTCCTCCTCCCGCCTCTTCTTCCCACACTACCACCAACCGTAGCTGTTTCACGCAAGACTACCCGGACGGTGTGTGTCGTACACCCGTCGTAATACCTACTGCACCGAGTCTCATATTCAAATTGGTCGCCGTCCTTGGCTACAACAAAACGTAGATCAAGGAAATGGAGCTTGTGGTTTCTCCTGAAGTCCTCCGGCGAATACAAGGGCGGCGCTTCTGATCGAGTAGCTATCTTTACCGTTTTACCACGGTTCCCTATTCAGTCCGCTGACCAAATCGCAAGTTTGTTGGGATCATCAAACTGAGGCTCCGAAGGCATTTTCGGATAGCTGCTTCCCTGTCGGGACACACCATAGCTATGTGACCCCACCAATCCCGTCCCATCTGCCGGGCTCGCGGCGGCAGTATTTTCGGTGCGTCACCCCACATCATTGTGACCATCTTCTTATCTCCACTGAGCCAACTTCTTGATTTCCCAGTCACCACTGAGTTGAAATTGTCTTGCTTCGTCGCCACGGTACTTCTTACCTCTCTTTACGCGAACAAGAGTGAGTGATTTACGTATAGGCTCGTTTTCGATAATGCTGATCACAGGTTGGTTATCCATAGTCAGAATGCCGCGGATACAAAGTTGCGAAAACGTGCAGCAGCAGTGACCATGGTACTGGATCGATCAAAAGGAGCGGTCTGCATATCTTGCTATATGGATACTCACAGATAGTATGTCATCTCGCGTCTACTTCTGCGACCGCCCACAATTTCCTCCACTCAGAGTCGTTCAGGCTGGGACCACCGCGTCGTGGAAGACAACCGCAAGACAATGATAAGGCTATCCGACGGAATTGTTGGTCTTTCGGTTAGTCCCCAACATTGTTCACAGCAGGTATTGTGCCGACGGAACAGCTCATCTGCCACACTAAGACGGGATCTGCACGCCACTGGTATCGTCAGATAGTGTGGACGAATGCTGGGGCTGGTGCACAGCGTTGTGGAAAATTGCAGAAGGCACTGCCTCTCTTCCCAGAATGGGTAGCAGTAGCTTTCTTCGGGTCGCGCGACGTCGCAGCTACTGCATTGCGTATGCCACAGGGTAACACTACGTTGCCTGAGCAAGATAAAACAGGCAACGCAGTTGGACATTCCGGCAAACGCTCCACGAGCGGGCGGCTCTTACCCCAATCATGTCCAGGAACCCATGACATACCACATATATTGCCTATGGTGACTTGAGATGCATTACAACCATCTGGCGGCGGCATATCTCCATCCCCAGTTTGTCTGATTTACCTTCTGACAACACGAACTCACGGGCGTTTATAAGATAGATCGAATCGCGACAAAGGAGTCAGGAAAAAATCACTCGTAAGTGAGCCTCTACTCACAACGATTCAGGTGACACCAGGACATCCGATTACGACTTTCTCTTTCGCTGAACCTGCTGGACAGAGCATTCTCCTGGTAGCGCCTTTGGACAAGCGCTAGTCGCCCGAAAGAGATCACCGCCGACGAGGCCATTGGTCCACGACATCGATATGTCTCTACCGCGCCAACAGTGCACGTATGATTGTGGCGCCGTCGTGCGGCAGTCTTCCGTACAATCCCCTATATATCGTCTGTTCCATCCTGTTAGACAACTGTGACCACGGGCACGCTTGCTGACCGTGATGATTCAAGCCCGATGGCGTATGACGAACTCGCGCCAATATTTCCAAACACATCCAGTGTTTTCTCGGAGGACACAGGTAGCAAGGGTGACGATGCTTATCTAGGTGGCATGATCTGCGAATTGAGACGGCCAGGCTGTTGTGTGAGTCATCGATTCAAGTTGCATTCCAAGCTTCAGTTCCTTGCTTTTCTCGTGCTAATAGCCAGGCTAAGTGATCTAGAAGATCACAGCACGAAGACTATAGGACGCTTCCGTGGTGATCGTCCTGTCAACTGGCCAGCGCTCTGAGACATTGCAGCGGAGGCATGCCTGAGCCAGCGCATTCCAACCGACTCTCAGCCCTTCTGTTTCTCCGCCCGGCGTTGGACATAGCCTCACGGTGTTACAGGCCATCAGTAACGCCAGGAGGAGAATGCGCACGTCATGGGGCGGCTGATGACATTTATCTCCGCTGGATCACGCTCTGGACCGTTTCCAGTGCCCCTTTCCCCCTTCGATTAGTAGGACGACCGACAACGGGACTGGGGCAGGACTGGTCCTCTCAGCTGCGAATTCGAGGACCACGACAGACGAGGTATGTGCAGGCTACAACTTCCTGGTCAACCAGAGGCCCCCCACTTGAACAATACACGGCGTATTTTCAGTCAACTCGGGAGAACGAGTCAACGTAGCTCCGCTGGAATACTGCTCGTCTTCGCGGCTTTTTATCCCTCATTTACCAAACCTTCGGTCGTCTTCACCGTTCACATCTCACGTTCTTTCCCGTATTCTAAATGCATCAGTCTTGAAATATTCTGGGTACACTTCACCCCTCTCCCTTGCCGGATTTCTCAGCACTTCTTCCACTGTATATTCTTCTCGCCTCCTCTCCTCGGTTTACGAGCCGCAACAACGGTGCATTGGGGCGAAGACCAGAGGCGCACAAAGATCTCTGCGGCTCCTTCAATTTGTGGGAGCCTCAATCGTCTGACTACTGACGACGGGGGAGAATTTCCAACTGCGCGGACCAAGCTGTCACACCGATGCATTGGGTTGCTTGGTGTATCGTTCCCGCGAAAGTACTGCAGCCGCTACTCACTCACGCGAACAGAGCCCTTCCAGACACTCTCACCGTGCCGGCCGACTTCCGGATGCCGTCCATTCATTGAACACTCCATTGCTCAATTGTTTGTCGGCTGCTTTTTTTTCACCGCACCAGGCTCTCAACAATTTCGTGCCCTAGGAATAATTTCAAACACGCGAGGGCCTCGCCCGCTATCTCGAGTTCTCCTTTTGTTCTTGCCAGGTAATCACTTACTTCTTTTTGACGTTGTGCAGCCCCCATCAATGAGGCCATTCATCGAGGATGCGGCACGATTCTCAGGAGGACGCATCATACATGCATGTGCCCTCGAAGATTATTATCAGCATGCATTTGAGGTGCTGCTAGCATGTACGTTTCAGTTATCAAGGTGCCTTTGTGTGTCGTTCTGGAATTAATACACGTGGGCTCCACGCGCCTCAATGGAAATGGATCGGTGGACTGATTACCAGCGTTGTGATCATCTGTGGCTCCTCGAAAGCTGAAGCGTAAGTAAGTCTCCGAGCTGCTGAGATCAGACCGGTACGATGGTAAGCCTCATCCTAGCGCAATGGCTTGTGGAAGTTGTTCGCTGTGAGCGAGATTCTGGGCCTAACAATCCAGTAGAGTGACGCAAAAATCAAAAAACTTCCCACTAGCTGACTTGAACAACTGACCTCATCATTATTATCTCTACTAGTGATGCGCTCTACCAGCTGAGCTAAGCGGGACATGTTTGACTGTCTGACAAGACACCCACAAGCGCTCATTCGGATGAGCGGCGCGAGGCTCCGGATCTTAGTTGTTCGGTGAAATAATCTCCAATTGCTTTAGCCAAGGCACCTCTTGTCCTTTTTTCACCACATTCGACAGTGACGACGAGGCTATCCACATCGCGTCTAGTGACGGTCAGAACACGCCGCTCATCGTCGACCCCGCTCCCACAGCATATGCTGGTTCTGGTCGTCCCTGCAGCAGCAGCTACCAACCATCCATTCACACGGCCTCCTCATTATTCGGCGCCATGAACTCTACCTCTGGCGCGCACGACCGCCACCAAAAGGACTTCTTAACGTCCTTCTTTCCGCCAGACCAACAGCACCAGGAGCATGACCAGCACGCGAGGGCCACGGATATGTACCACAATTCAATGAACACTGCATCAAACCAGCATCCCTCGATCTTGAATCTCCAGCAGCAGCACATGTCAAATACTTCGGTCAATCTGGATGTCCTGGAGTTGATGGCGATGCAGGAGCGGGCGGGACAGTCGTCGGCACCGGGAGGGGGGTCTCAGCCGACCACACCGCAGGTACTGTTGGAGCAGCAAGTCAGGCTGAATCAACTTCAGCAATTGCAGCAGCTGCAGAACCAAATCTTTCAGCAACAGGTGTGTCTTAGCTGTCTCGTTCTCTCGATAAGGAGGGGAAGGTTTGAGAATCGGGGGTATTAAAGAGCTGTATGAAGAGGATGCTGTCTACACAGAACGGTCATTTGTGGCAAGGTGGTCGAGGGACGTCAATTTGACGTTACCCTAATCACTCGCCGCTCGGGTTTATCCCCCGGTACCCGACCATATATCGCATCATGGTCAAGCTCCCGCGATTTTCTCTCCTTGTCTTTTGCCTTCCTATTCATTAGCCTTACTCATGCCCGTTATGTTACCATAGATCGAACTCCTCACAGGTAACACAAGCTTCTCCGCAGGCGTGTCACCCACTGTGGACCGCTCGCGAGACCAGCAACAGTTCGGTCTTCCAACACCTGGTACGTTATACCGTATGTTCAAATGACTTCGATTGCCTGAGGCCCTCTTGTTCATGTTTAGTATCCTCAACCGAGCTGCATGCCCAGCATAATAATGATTTCGTTTCCCCTATGCTTCTGCAGTCGGGACATGGCTCGATGAACAACCTTTCATCCCAGCAATCTGTGCCCTCCGTTCTTCCTCATCACATGATCCCACCTACTCCGCACTCCGCTCCAGCAAATATTGTCTTCCAACAGACACAGAGCCCACATTATGCGCAGGAACTCGATTTCGCAGAGATATCGCCGTTGACTAGTCCTTGGCTTGGTGCTTACAGTCACAATGGTCACCCTGACGCAGGCGGAATGTCAAGCGGGCAACGACAGCTCGCGCCGTCAAATTCTCCGAACAACAGGAAACGTCGTCCGTCCCCAGGCAGCGGCGAGGAAGAATTAGCCGCAACGCGGCCATCGACCAAGAAGCGGCCTCAACCTGGCCAACCCACACGCATGACACCAAATATACAACCACATCTGAACAGCAAGAAGTCGAATCTGCGTGGGACAAGGTCCGCGAATTCTACACCCCTCTTTCCGGCTACTGCGCCAGGAAACCGTATCAGTCCCGTAGCCCGCAACTCCATCTCTGCCGGCGAAGTTCCCGGTGACACCCCTTCACCCGTCGACCTTTCCATGCCGCCTCCCGCTCCACCAACCACAACGTCGTCGAATTCTCCCCTGCATTTCGTGGATAGTCTTACGCCGTCCCCGCAACTGGATCTCCCAGCTCTTGTCCACAGTATGAACGGTCAGATCCAGCAGCAACCTCAACCCCAACAGCAATCGTCAGCTTCCTTGATGACTCCTGAACATCTGATGCCCGTCACACCAGCGAGTATCATGAATCTTGGACGGTTAGGAACGAATAGCGCACTCGCACCTCCTCCACTCACTTCTCTGACTATCACACAAGAGAAAACTTCGAAGGCAAAACCCGCAGGTCGCACGAGAGCGGCAACAGTGTCAAACTCCCAAACCAATACCAAAGCGACCACCAGCAATCTTCCGCTAATTAGTCCCAGCCTTAAGCCGATTCGTCCAGGTTCGTCTTTGTTTCTTGTCCGCTGAATTTACCGTAAGCTTAACACCTGAATGCAACAGCTGGGAACGCCACTTCTGGTGCGTCCACCCCTACCACACCCGTGGTACAACCCACACTTGCAGGTCGAAAAACCTCCCACAAGGCTGCCGAGCAAAAGCGGCGGGATTCTTTGAAAACGTCATTCGACGAGCTGCGGGTGTTGCTCCCCCCGATCCCCTTACCCTCCGATGAAGGCTACCCTGACGAGCCCGTTCTCCCTGGCGCCATGCCTCCTCGTGGCCCGCCCAAAGGCAACGCTGACGGCCCGAATCGCGGCGTGAGCAAGCTGCAACTGCTCCGCTGTGGTAACGATTTTATCCGTGTCCTCAAAGCTCGCGTGGAAAGGCGTGACTCAGAGATTGACCTGCTTCGGCGAGAGATTGAGAGGTTACGGTTAGGTGTCGAGGGCACGGAGGGCGGGGAGGAGATTGACCTGGAGAAGGACCTCGACGCAGTGGAGACGGCTGTCGGTGGAATTTTTGCGAAGGGCTCCGTGAGATTTGGTGCCATTGCAGAGGGGGATGAAGATGACGATGGCGGGGACTGAAGAGTTAGGTTCCATGAGACTGCTGCGATCTGAACAAATTCGGAAGGGCGGACTGTACAGGGTTTTGTGAGCGTATCTATTTGTGCGCCCATGTCGGTGCGAATCACGTTCTTTCTTTCTTTCTTTCTTTCTTTCTTTCTCTTCTTACATATGGGCTTCTACTTGTTGTTTCTAGTAGATGTAGTAGGTGTATCGTGTATGCGATCAATCAACGCAGAGAGCGAATGTTGACTTGGGTTCCAAGTAGATTCAATGTATCGTTTTGACTGTAGCAACCCTATCAGCAAACTACATGGTACGCTGACTCAATGGCCCATCCCGTCATTCAGTAAAGTTAGTTCATTGTGACCCTGCTCTCGTTGAGTCGATGAAAGCTCTTGCGACACCAATTCAGGTCGATCTTGATCTATGATCCCGATTCTAATCTCAGGTACGCCAGAGATAGGGCCACGTGGTAACTCCCTGTGCATGATTTTGAAGCGCACGCTGTTGAACCTGAGACCGTATCTCCCCAACTCTCACTTTTTCCTCTTCGCTGGCACCGTTGAACGCAACAATGGCCGAAGTTGGTGTTCAAGTTAGGCATCCTGCGTGAGTTTAGATGGTTTTGCTTGAGAATATTTCGCTCATAAGCTTTCGAATAGCTCCCTTATATTCTTGTTGCACATTGCACTCGAAATCCCTGTCGCAGTTCAAGGACTACTTCACCCTTTGTCCCTTCCCTTCTTGGAGTTGACGAATACGACATTGGTTATTATTAAGGTCTGTCAACGCCCTTCTGACTTCTCAGCACGTGTGTGCTTATCATGTTGTAGTTATATGCTGCGTTGGTGGGTGGCATGTGTGCCGCGGCATTCCTATGCTTTGGTCTCCCCGGTAAGCCTCGCTATCTTGACACGTCCTACGCGCAGTATTTTTACGCATAAATACCAGAGTTTTTGCCAGGCAAACGCGCCTTGGCCATTGGACTGAGCTTGTACCACGTAACTTGCTCCACCATCCTGTTCAATGCGCCACGCATCATCCCCTTCTCGTTTGGCGCATTGGCCGAGTCGTATGTATCATTTTCATTTCGCCTTGTAGACTGTTACTGAACTTTGTCTGTCATTAGAAACCGTGTCACCCCTGAGGTTGTTTGGGGCACGCTCCACGGTCTCATCGGTCTTGGATTCGCTGTTTGGTGGCAATTCACTGTTGGGATCGCCGCAGCCATGCGCAAGATGCAATAAAAGGCCTTTTATCGACAAGATGTGCAGGTAGTATGTGTGTATTTACCATATTGTACACCCTGGTGCGAATCTATTCCTGCTTGATTCAATTATGTCAACTCTTCGTGTAGTGCAGGATGCCTATTCCAAATGCTCCAATGTAGTTGTTTCCCTCGATGGCGCTATTTATTCTCAGCTCTGCGAATACTCCGCTTGCAGCATCGTTCGGCACCTAGGACGTTCTAGGATACGATTTTATGGCCTCAATGTGCAATAGAGGGTGGACAGGCGCTTTCGCTGTGCGCTGCGCGGATGGAAGCGATCAACCCAATCCAAAAGTCAACCTAACAAACCTCTCTGAGGATTTGTTGGACATTATGGTTAGCACGAAGGGAATTACCCCTTCGCAGCAGGGTCGGCATTATTTGGATCGCTAGGATCACATGCCCCGTGAACTTGTAGTCATCCCCCCAATACAGCACGACGATGGAATCCAACAGCCTCAGTGAAGTCGCCGCGATGTGAACTTACAATAATATGGCGACATCCCGAACGAAGAACAATGCCCGAAGGCCGCTCAATACGGCATGTCCTCCTCTCATTTGAAAGACGAATATGCCGCAACGATCATCAAAGGCTTTGCCATGCACGGCTACCTGTATACCAGGGGCGAAGGCGGAAATTAAAATACCGATTTCCGAACATCCTAGGAATGCGACGCTTAGAGCCTTCTGATCCGTGTTTAATCACGACACTGAGGCATTGTCCTTGGGGGACGAGTAGGTGTTGGATTTTTGCACAGCGTTTCCTGATATTACCTTGCAGTGAGCAGCTTATGTACTGTTGGCGATGGCCCTCAGACACACAGCATTAACATGGTTTGTATAATGGACTCGGAGCGTCGTGTCAAAGCCGCGACCCTCTGCCAGTGTGCTTTATGATGATTGACAGTGTTATCATTGCTACTGACGTTGCTAGATGTGGGTCCACTCTTTTGCCATCCTTACCGCAAGTCTAATGACATACCTCTGCAATCTAGAGTTTCTTCCACTATTTTGGATAATATAGCGGCTGTGTTTGACTCGC